CCCCTGCCTGCCAGGACTTTTCAAATATCATGGCGAGTGGCTTGGCAACTGCATCAGCCAATTCCCTCAGGATTCTGGGATGCATCTCATCGGGACCCATAGACTTATGTATGTTCAGGTTCCTCAGGTGGTCACAAACCTGACCTTCTCTTACAGTGGGAGGAACTTTGCTCCCCCCGTCCCTGTCTTGCGGTCCATCAATTCGAGAGGTGTGGGAAGAGAGGTTGCCAGTGAGGACTGAGGCAAAAAAGTTGTTGAGCACCTCAGCCTTCTCCTTGTCTGTTGTTACCAGTTTGCCGGCCATGTTCATCAGGAGGGGTACACTTTCTTTGACCTGCCTTTTCTGGCTGACGTACCTGTAGAAGCCCTTTTTATTATTCATTGTGTCCCTTGCCAAGTTCATCTCCAGCTGTGCCTTGGCCTTCCTGACTCCATCCCTACACAACCGAGCAGCATCCCTATACTCTTCCCAGGATACCTGCCCTTGCTTCCATTGCCTGTGCATTTCTGTCTTGCCCTTTAGTTTGACCAGCAGGTCTTGACTCACCCATGCCAGTCTCTTGGTCCTTTCCTGATTTCTTACATGTGGGGATCGAGAGCTCTTGTGCTCTATGGAAAGCATCCTTAAAGATCTGCCAGCTCTGTTCTGCTCCCTTGTCCCTGAGGGAGGTTTCCCAGGGGGTCCTATTGACTAATTCCTTGGACAGCTGGAAAATGAAAAAATGCTTGTATATACATTAAATGACGATGGTAAAATAGTAAGAAAAAAACCAGCACATAATGCTTCACGTCAAAATATTCTCATAGTTGCACCTTACATAAGTAGCTTTCTGTTGCGTTTTGAGATCTTTTTCTGTTTGTGTTCTCTGCTCACTCTCCACCTTCACCCCCACTTAACATCTTTAGAGGACTGACTTAGGAAAACTTGGGTACCATACCTGTGAACTCCATGTCTACACACATCTGGATTTGTTTTCAGTTGTAATTTAAAACCTAATTCCCTGTTTTTGTAATCAATATTTTGGGGTTAATTACAGTGGGTTTCTGTGTTTTGTTTTTTTCTATTTTTGCTTTTTTTACTTCCCGATAGCTATGTTCGATGTTAATGAAGCTTAAGTTTTTTTCTTTTTTAATCTACAAATATGGTGGGAAAACGACATAACTTGCCACAGAACTGTTTTTGTTAAATATATTGCAAACTTTTATTGACATGTTTTAGCTTTTTAAAGAAAATTCAGTCAGCATTATTTAGTGTTTTTAAAGTAAAGCAGCATAAACATTGATAGATCCTGGAGTGTGAGCCTAAGTACTCAGGATTGTTTCTAGCTTTCCTATTACTGTGAGACCAGCTGAAGCCTAAGCTTCTCATCTGATAAAAAAAGGAGAAATGTTTGTTTTTGTGAGGTCTTCTGAGACCTTTGTTTGAAAGACGCTATCAAGATGAGTCCAAAATAATATTTTCTTTTTTTCTCTGAAAGTTTTCTGCATGAGCTCATCAGTTTTCAAATGTGTAGAATAGATTTGCATCTTTGAGTGAAAAATTATGAATGAATGTGGAAGCAGTATTGCGTTTCTAAAGTACTTCTAGCACTACAAGAGCATCAGAAACCATTGTCAAATGTCACCATTTGTTATTTGAAAATGAAGAGTGGATTTTTTTAAAGTTTTAGTACAGAGGCTGTCAGAGAAAATTCCAAACATTCCTAAATCACTGCCTAAGTGAGAGGAAAATCTTTGAACAATTAAAGCAACTTGGAATTTTCTACAATAGAGATGAAAAACAGGGAAAAGCTTAGTATTCATTATGGAATCCTCAACAGGCTTTAATACCTGATATGTTTTTTTAGGATGGATTATACCCATTGCAGATTGAGGACAATTTTGTTACTGGCATTTTTTTCAACTACCAGGTTTATTTTCATTTTTTGACTTTTCTAAAATATGCACTTTTTAAAGCCAACACTGTGGCCTCATTAAAGGCCAAATTATGAAACATTGCAACAGTGGGAATGCTGAAGATTTTCATTCCTGGTTTTGACCTGAACATACATTCTTTGTGGTGTAGCTGTTGCTCTTTGAAAATAGCATGCTTAGTTGAATTGCATAAGGCATTGCTTTTTCACAGAAGGTACTGGTCCTGTCTCAACTCATCCTTAGCTGAACCTGTTTAGTAGAGGTAAGGATGCATCTCAGAAATTGCGCACTCGAGCAGTCCTGTTCAGACAATTATAAATGTATCGAACTCTTAATGTTCTTACGTTCATCCATAACTAGCAAGAATAGCTTAGATATTTTGAAATCCTACTTAGGTAAAACCAGACTAATAATATACTTTCATAAACATAAGGTTGAGATCTGTTTGAGCCTTTGTGGAAAAGGGTTATTTAATACACACAACAATGCCACTTTTGCAGGGCAGGGTGGGTTCAATTTTGTCCTGAGGACAGGAATCAAAATTCCAAGTGAGTTTATAGTGTTTGTTTTGCTGATAATTACAGCTGCTTAGATTTTTAATAATCAATCTCTTGCATGCAAGAAATATTTTTTTCTATATATTTACGTGAAACAAGTACAAGTATCAACATATTTACATTAAAATTGGCGTTAAAAATAACTATAGCAATTATCCCATGTCAGGCCATTTTAAACTTCCCATTATAGTTAATTTACGAGGTAGATAAAACATAATCTGATAGCTTTCTGAAGAGAAAAATAATTTATTTGGCCCAAAAACTATTAGGCATGTAAGCATAATTGCCCAATAATTACAGAGTTTCACAGGAGGGAAAAAGCTTTTTTGGTGCCTTATCAGTGTGTTTAATTCCTTAGTATATTTTGATACCTTTTACCTTAATTTTGAATTTTGGGTTTCCAGTATGTTTTTTCCAAATGTTATAGCTGTCGTGTTCTTATCCTTAAAATTCTGAAGTGTGCTTGTGGTTAATTATAACTAATCTTTAATATTAACATAGATGTGCAGAATCAGATCCATTAAGAGAAGATTGATGATTTATTATTTTAAGTCAAGTTAAGGACAGTTGAGAATATTAGAACTTAAAGTTGATTTTCCATTATATAAGGTATTTTTAAAATAATAAAAAAAATACATTAATTTGTCTTTGCCTCAAGAAAGACTTCTTTTTAGAAGCTTTAAGATGGTAATGTCAGCATAACACAGCTGCATTTGAATGAGTTTTACTAGTCACCCCTCTGAAGTATTTAATCATTTTGGTTCTTAGAAGACCTCACAAGAAGTGGTAAACCTTGGTGGATGAGTGATGCATCTGCTTTTCCAACTTCACGTCCAGTCAATGACACGTTAAATAGTCATAGTCGACAGAAGAGATCAGTAAGCCTTGAACGGTTTGTGGAAACGCTGGTAGTAGCAGACAAAATGATGGTGGGATACCATGGTCGCAAAGACATTGAACACTACATTTTGAGTGTAATGAATATTGTAAGTTTCATCCCTCTCTGTGTTCATATCAATATGCGTGTTCTGAAATGATATAGCAACTGTAAAGTGTTTCTTTATTGGCACGAATAATGCCTTAAAATGTGTATCAGCTTGCAGGAATTAATAGTTGAAATATGGCAAATGTTAGCATTGTGGGAAAAATACAGTACTGTTTCTGTACACTGTGATGACTTTTAAATTGTTTGTCTTTAATTTTAAATTCATATGATTACATTTAGATTCTACAATTCTGTTTAAGTCAATGGTCTAAATGTTCCTTGTGCTGGATGAATTATGAAACAAAGTATAAACAGTTTTGATTGAAAAGTGTGACCCAAGAAGTTTGTTTTACTGAATAGTCAGTTTTTTGTCCAAAAATAACTCTTATTCAGGTGACAATGATAAATAACATTATGAAATTACATTGAGTGAGAAAATAGGTTCACTTTTAACCATTCAGGAAACAAGTAGTGTTCCTTGTCTGACTTTGTGCCTTTTCTTATTTTCTGGAGGTCAGGTTGCCAAACTTTATCGTGATTCCAGTCTAGGAAACGTTGTGAATATTATAGTGACACGTTTAATTGTCCTTACTGAAGATCAGGTAAGAGCTCTTGCGCTAAGCTTTATACCCCTGAAATACAAGTTATGTTATTGTGTAATATAGTTTTCATTTAATTATTGCTTGAAATGGCTGCATCTGAGCACAAAACCTATCTTGTCATCTTTCACTACTTTAATCAAGATGAAACAGTTCAAAGGAATATTCCTCATATGTCATCTCAAAGATATCTGTTCTTACTTCAGGTGAATATTAATACACCTTTGGGAATGTCAGTTTTATTTTTAGATATATATTTTGATATTCTGATTTTTTTAATTGACATAATCATTATTAAAGTTGGAGCAGAAAGAATGCCTGTTCAGCTGAACTTGGGGTCAGATTTTACAGAGATAAAATTTGGCAAGAAGAGTTTATTCCTAGAAACCACTGCTTCTAATTATAGTCCCATTTTAGTCTTCAAAAGGCTTAACAACTGACCTTAGTAATTTGTTTGGAACATTTCTGGTATGCATGTTGTATTGCAGCCAAACTTGGAGATAAACCACCATGCAGACAAGTCCCTCGATAGCTTCTGTAAGTGGCAGAAATCCATTATCTCCCACCAAAGTGATGGAAACACCATTCCAGAAAATGGGATTGCCCACCATGATAATGCGGTTCTTATTACTAGGTATGGTCATTATAAGTATTGTGTTTTATTTTATTTCCGTAGCTTTATTGTTCTTACCTTATATATATAGAGAGAGGCTAGTTGTGAAGTAATATAATTGGTAGGTAATCTTAAGAGGAGGAAAATTAATAGATGGCTTGTCTTAAATGTATCAGACTATTGAACTATAGATTAAGAATTTGGAAAAGTAAGATGTGCAAATTACTTGCTTCTGCTGTTATTTTCACTCCATAATTGCCAATGCAAAGTATTCCAGTAGAACAGATGGATCCTATTGAACATTTTATACTTTTGTAATTGAAAAGAATTCAAAGGATTATGGAGAACAAAACAGTATGGAAAATGTTTTGTTAACCATATATAATGTTTTTAATATGAATTTCAAGCCAGAACGTCAACTACTGTAATAGTATTTCTGCTGAAGAACAGGTTCTTGCAGATTCAGGCAATGTGAGAATCTGCTTTGTAACTGTTTTGATATATTGTGCTTAATTAAGATGAGAAGTGACAGTTTTAATAGGTCGTTTCAAAGCCTGCATATGTGCCCATTTTCTTGCTTCTATTCCACCGTTACTGTGATAAATTCAACAAAGCTTGCACTGTAATCTTGCAATCCTGAACCTGTTCCTGTTTGTCCTTTGCAGTTATGGGTAGGCAACTGTACATTATTAGGAGATCAGTTTCCCTGTTGTTTAAGGACACTATTCTTTTCTATTCTGTTTAAATAGCAGCAGATGCAGCAGGACTAATTTGGATTAGGATCTTTTTATTATAGTTTCTGCTTTCCAGGACAAATTCTGTACTGCTTTGTATGTGACCTATTTGTGGAATTACTGTGTTTACTGCAGAAATTTTTAAAATAGTGATTAAAATAATGTCTCTTTTCTGGAATTTTGCATAAAACGTGTAAAACTGGCTGGATTTTTTTGGGATGGGTGGGTTTTGTTGGTTTTATTTTGTATAAGGAACAATTTTTTTGAGAGGAAATAAAAAGCTACTGAATCACTTGCATGAATTTTTGCATTCGTATTTGAAATATAATTGTTACATGTGGTTATTAATACTACATAGTAACAATTAGGGTGATTAAATGCCAGAGTGACTTAAGGAGCTGTGACAGTCCAAAAAGTTTAAAAAAATAATATTAATGTCTCTAATAAAAATAAATGGAATGAAATTCAAAATACAATACAGTTAGATTCTAAGATACTGATTTTTCATGAAGGCCTTCGTTTATGTTCAATTTTTTGCATACAAGGAAGTCCTTCACTAGGGCTGCTCACATGTGAGATTAAGTACCTCTTTACCGCTGTGCTACACATCGAGCTTTTACTGGTAAAATTTAGGCAGTGAGTGAAAAAGTGTAATCTGTAGGTAGTAGGTTGTGTCAGTTGAAACCCCCTAATATGTATGTATAAGCTGCATTGGCAACACTGTATTTTTACTGTTATGGCTGAATGACTTTGATGTTTTGTTAGTGTTATTCTGGCACTGCAAAGCACACTTGTTTGTTTTCTTTCACTGTTGTGCTTTAATACCTTTTGTTACTGTATGTTCTGTACTGGCTTCCCTGTTCTGGTGGGATGTTCCCAGCACAGTTATGAACAGTTCTGTGTTCCAGATGAAGGCTTAAGTCAGTGCTAACTTGCAGGCCTTTAACTGCAAAAGGAGCAAGTTTTCACAGAACATGAATAATACCCATTGAACACTAAGCTTTTTCAGCAAGAAGCAGTAAATATTAAGGACTTGTTGTATTCCTCGTTATGGGGGCTTAGTAATTACATGAGTATGCTGCAGAGTTTCTTTAGGACTTGTGTATGCTATCTTTTAAAAAGGACATAACAGTTATAAAAATAACTTCTGAGTTTACTTCTAAGAGTTTTACACTTCTAAGTATATACCTGTATTTTAAATCAACAGAGTGCCTTAGTGTAGTATCTGCAGGCTAGTAATAACCACCTTTATAAAACATTGCTGAACTTTCAAGTTCAGTTATGTATGCTTTCATGATAGAATGCTTGTATTCATTTATTTACTATAGTAATTGTAATTTCTGAAAATAATCCCAAAGGCTAAACTAATCAATTTGAATGGATCAATCAGGCTTTTGCTGAAACTGCTAGCTATCCTGGCTTTTATTAATAAAAAATTATCAGCATATGTGAAGAATGGATTTTTCTTTTTTTAGATTGGAATGAGTAAAGATAAATTTATATTAATTTAAACATGTAAATCCATTAATTTTAAAAAATTCTAAATGAATTACTGAAATGGTGACATGCTTGCTTTCATTCTGTTTTGGATCTCTCATCTGATGAACCAGAGTTAATGCACTATATGTGAAAGAGAAGGGTATAGGTACAGTGCTTTGAACTCCTAATGGGTTGGAGAGGTCTTTAATAACCTCTTCCACATGAAGGAATTTGAACCTATACTACCAAATATTAGGTTATTTTTTAGCCACTGTAATAGTGTTTTGAAAGCAGTTTTCTGAAGCTGTTCCACTGATGCTGCTCTGCTTTGTATGGGGTAACTACATTTTCATTGAATTTGGCACTGGAACCATTTTTGCTCGTTGTGTGTATTACTATTTTATGGAAAGTAGGAAAGTTTCAATTCAACATTATGAATAGTTTTGTGTTGATCAAAACTGGATTTTTCAGTCAGTAATTGTTGTATTTGAAAATATTACCTAGTCCTAGGTGAGTATTTAAGTTTGCAACTACAACAATCTTTATCTGAAAAGTGGGGCAAAGTTGTTAAGAAAAGGAGTCATTATCTTCACCTATGCAAATGAAGACAGCGCCTCAGCTTTTCTTAGCAACAGATGGCTTTCCTCTGTAGTACTTTCAAAGATGGCATGCTCTTATCTGTGAAGAAAACCTGTTATTAAGGGCGCTGATTCCCTAGGGATGTCTGCTTGACCAACGTAGACAGACTTTTGTACCCTAAACTAGCTGTATGCTAAAACCAAGTAGCCTTGCTGGCATGGAGGTATGCCACCCTAATCTAGTAAGTCCCATGGAGATGTTATCATGCCTGCTAAGCCACTGGTCTTTGTACAAGAGCCTACCCGTGTTCAGCGTGCCTGGTGTATGGCCTTCTCTGTTGTGGTCCTGCAGGCACCCTGCAGACTGCAGAGCGCTTATTTTACTAAGTGGGTAGGGGATTGCAGGAAACTTCTCAGCTGATAATGAAAAATAAGGCAGGTAAGAGACTGGTCCAAGTAAGAGCCTGATTCCCCATCAGGAGAGCAAAATTGTGGTAATGCAAATATGGTATTACTTGCACAAATATGGTAACAGAAATGATGTGTGTTGTCAACTCACTATGGTGAATATTGGGACTGGTTTAGCTTCCTTAATGCTGCCAGACTTTATGCTGTAGGCATAAAAAATATAATTAGCAGGACCATTTCCTGATACTATTGTCAGCAGAAGCATCTTCCTTCAGTTTCACTGGGGAGCTTCTGAGCATCCCTGAAATTGATAAGAATTAGATACCTTCTTATAATGGGAACCCCAGGGTAGGTAATAGGCCTTATATAGAAAGCTTATTATAGAGTCTTGGAATATTGGGTGACTTTGTATAGCAAAAATAGCAATTACCCAGAACACTGATAATAATTTTGTGTGTGTTACTGTAGTTTTGCTTTCTTTTATTTATTTACAGAACTTCTGTTTGTATTTTCTGAGTCTTAAGTGCTTAATGTTATTTCAAGATAAAATTCTGACTGAATTAATGTGCTAAAACAATGAGACCTGGTTTTTTTGTATAGTGCTTGCTCTTTAAAATTTCACCTAGATTTTTTCTATTGGAGACTATATTTAAAGTCTCAGGCTTTAATATTTTATCCTGTAATTGTCCAAATTGGGTTCCTGGGGGCAGGTGAAAGTAAAATACTAAACAGACAGATTTTAATTATGTATGAAGTTGATTAATAGTGTAAAGCTGTTAAGACTATGTCTTCTTTTTCCCATGATGTGACTTTGACTTTAGATAAACCTAGTGAATCCTTAAAATTCTTTCATATTACAAATCAGTAAAAGCAGGAGAAAAACTTGTATGATTCTCTTATCTCAAGTTTTTTGGTAGACAAAAAGTAGTCTTTGTGTTTGGTTCCTATATTCCTGCATCACAGATGTGATAATCTGACTTTTTAGCGCAATGTTGGGTTCTCAGATTTGTCGTTTTAAGACACAGTGTTGAGAGTTGCTGTGTATTCTCCCTTGTGCATCCCATCTCCAGTGTAGAAGTATCTATTTGCCTTTTTGAAGGTAGTTCTTGTTTATTTGCTGATTTTTTTTTTTAACCTTCATTGGTAGCCTGCTTCCTCTTTTTGTATCTTCAGAAACTCCCTAAGAAATAGAGCCTCCATAGTTTACCTTAAAAACACAAAACTTCAGCGGTCACAATGCACACTATGATATTGTTACTTATTTTGAAAGAACACTTAACCCAGCTTCCCTTCCATTTCAATCAATTGATTCCTTCTCTTGATCTTATAGATCATAAAGGAGGAATTGTGGAATTCCTGAGCAATACTTTGGTTAACTTGCAAGCATATACATTATGAACAAAACTATTCCTTGTCTTGTGCACCTGCACAGAATGGTAGGGCCAGAGGGTTGCATTCTAGGAGAAGATGACAAAATTTTAAAAATGCCTTTATTTTTTTTTTTGTCTTTTACACCCTAAGGCTTCTCTAGTACTACATTTCTATGTATCTCAGGATGGTTAGTTTGATTTGTCCAGGTGCTAGATAGTTGTTTTTCCAAATGATGTGTGTGACTGACTCTAAATTTTGCAGCCACAGAGTCTTTTTCCTGCTGGGAGGGAAGATCTAAGCTATTAATTTGCCTCCTGGTGTGTCAGTATATCAAGTAAAAGGTGTATCAACCAGCCCATAGAGAGAAAAGTTTCTGGGGGAAGCTGAGATGCGTGTGTGTGTGTGTGTGTGTGTGTGTGTGTGTGTGTCTGGGAGGGGGCAGAACTTGGTC